CCACACAAACAAATACAGACACGCACACAAATACATACAAAAAAACACACATACACACACAAACAAACAGACATACGTACACAAACACACACAAATACATACAAACATGGGATAGGTTTTCGTCAATTCAGCGCATACTTCTTCAACACGTTCGACGCGTGATGTTTGTGCTTCAGTCGGTCTTAATTTTGCCATTTCATCATCATCATCATCACCGTCGTCATCATCATCATCACGATCATGTATATCGTCTCAAATATGTTACTTTCCATTCTAGCCTTTTATATATAAGCAGTCTAACAATTAATCAAGACTTCTCTCTCTTTCTCACCTGGCTTTCTCTCTCTCCGCACTCTCTTTCACACACCAATTCGTTCACACACAGACACACACACAGACACACACACACTCACAGACACACACACACACACACTCACAGACACACACACACACACGCACACACACACACACACACACACACACACGCACACACACACGCAGTTTTCCACACGGCTTCAATCTGGTTGATAGTGGTGTTGTCCCTGCAGAGGTACATATGCGTCTGCCATCATCAGCTCGCCATCAGAATCTGCACAATGAAAAACTGCAGAAGGGTCATTGTTGGCATATACATTTGCGCTTTCCTCTCTCAAGTCTTGAGGTTAGTTGTGGTGACCATCCTGCAGCTGCTGAAGCTGCTGCTGCTACTGCTGCTAATGATAATGATTACGATAGTGGTGATGTTGGTGATGGTTGTGAAGACGGCGGCGACGATGATGAAAATTAATTTCCGATTTTTTTGGCATATTCGTCCGCGCGCTTCTGTCAAAATTTCAAAGAAGAAGATGATGATGATGACGATAACGACAGTGATGATGATGATGATGAGAGTAATGGTGATAATGGTGTTGATGATGATGATGACGATGATGACGGTGGTGATGATGATGATGATGACGACGACGATGAAAACCTTCCCTCAAAATTATTGCGGTTATTGTTTACAGCCGGTTTAGAAAAATAAATTCTAAGAAGAAGAAAAAATGTTTTTCTACTAATATATCGCGAGTAAAAAGAAAATTTAAACTTGAAAAAAATATTTTTCTAAAAATTTAACCCCAAATAAATGAAAAATCCCTGAAAAGTATGAACAATTACTAAAGCACTTTAAAATTTTACTGGAATATTTTGAGAAAGTATCAAACATTACTGAAATAATTTAAAAAAAATTGTGGATTCAAGTAAATAAATTATAAATACGACCAAAAGAATATAAATTCAAATTATGTAACATAGAAGTAATAATAAAAATTCGTGTATTATGTTGCTGGTTGCATAGAAAGCGATGAAGATAGACAAAATGTTTGTGTTTGTGTGTGTGTGTGTTTGTGTGTGTGTGTGTGTGCGTGTGTGTGCGTGTAGGAATGGTGCCACCGAAATATAATTAAATAGGAAAGTGTTAAAAACTGCTTTTTAGCACATCTTCTCCCATTTATTCTCAACATTCAAACACCTTTTTTTTTGTGGGGGATTTTTCTCATTTTGTCTTGTTATTATTTTGCTAGTAGTAGTTGTAGTTTTAGTAAAAGTAGTAGTAGTAGTAGTAGTAGTAGTTGTTGTTGTTGTTGTAGTGTAGTAGTAGTAGTAGTGGTGGTGGTAGTGGTAAAGTATATGAGCGAAAGAACGAAGGAACTAATAAACGAGTAAAAACGAAAGAATGAACGTACGAACGAACTGATGAACCTCAAAAAACTCCTTGCTGGAAAATGAGTAATGAAAAATTGTAATGATATATTAGTGAGGGAGAGAGAAAGAAAAAAAGAGAGAGAGAAAGAGAGAGAGAACTGAATAGGAGTTCAAAAAGGAAAGAAAGATAGAAACAGAGAGATAGAGAGAGAGAGAGAGAGAGAACTGAATAGGAGTTCAAAAAGGAAAGAAAGATAGAAACAGAGAGATAGAGAGAGAAAGAGAGAGAGAGAGAGAGAAGGTGAGAGAGTGAAAAATAAAAAAAAGAAAAGGAGTGAAAGAAAAAAAGAAGAAAAGAAAGTAGAAGTCTGAAGTAATTAAGATAGAAAAAAACCAAAAAGACAGCAAAAAATTGCGAACAAATTATCAAGTAAACAACAACAACAACAACAAAAAAGAAAGTGAGAATAAGAGAAAAAAGAAGAGGGAGAAAGAAATAAAAGGAGAGAGAAAAAGAGAGAGAGAGGATAGAAATAATGGAGACTTGAATAAAACAAGTAACAGAATAAAATTGGAGATGTCGTATAAGCAGTGATAGAAAAAAGCGATCGTCGGTATACAGAAAGAAAGAGAGAGAGAGAAAGAGAGAGAGAGAGAGAGAGAGAGAGAAGAAAAGCGAGAGAGAGAACGTGAAAGAAAGAAAAAGAATAAAAGGAAGAAAGGAGGAAAAAAGATAGATAGAGAGGTAGATGGAGAGAGCTAAGCAGTTAAAAATACATAACAACGGTGTTAAAACTGTTACAATTTATTTCATTACTCACATTATTACCTTTTCAACTGCTGCTTCAACTGCTGCTATGACCACTACCACTACTACTACTACTCCCACCACCACCACTACTACTACAACTACTACTACCTACTACTTAGTAAAATTTTATTTTTTTACAATTTTTTTAAAATTTTACTACTACTACTACTACCACCACTACTACTACTACTACTACTACCACCACCACCACTACTACTACTACTACAACTACTACTTGGTACAATTTCACTACTACTACTAGCGCACTCAGTCATTCAAGTTTTTTAACAATGAATATTGCATGGACTGAGAAAATAGTAGAAAAGACAGTACAAAAAGGCACACGCACACACACACACACACACACATAAAAACATACATACAACCGTACATACAAACATACAATCCTTTTTCCAACTTTGGTGTCATAGGCAATTAGTATCTTCATACATACATACATGTTTCTTCATAATGAAATTAGCAGGCGATAATTCTTGCACTGAAGAGTTAATAAATGAAAAAAACTAACATTAATAATAATAATAATAATAATAATAATAATAATACCAATAATAATAAAAAGACAAGAAGTCACAGGGTATAAAGCTTGACATTTGTGATGTTTGCCCATGCTAGAATTACACTCAATTCATTTTCTGTATGTATGTTTGTTTGATTGTTTTCTGTATGTATGTGTATTTGTTTGTTTGTTTGTATGTATGTATGTATGTATTTAGGTATGTTTGTATGTATGTGTGTGTGTGTGTGTGTTTATATGTAATTTCGAACATTCTACTTATTTGACACGGTCTTAAAAATCACGAAGGAAAAAAAAATTGTCTTTTTTTTCACTAATAAAGCCTTCTAACATGACAGGTACGTGGGTTTAATGCCAAAAACATACAAACAAACAAACAAACAAACATACATACATAAATACTAACAAACAAACATACATACATACACACATACATGTATACATTCATACATTAATACACTTCTACAAACAGACGTACATACAAAACTTCTTACAAACATACATACGCACATACAAACAAACATACAAATGCACATATACAAACATACATACTAGTAATGGTAATAGTAGGGGTAGTAGCAGTAGTAGAAGCAGCAGCAGCCAGCAGTAGTAGTAGTTGTTGTAGAAAGAAATTTCAGAAAAATATTATAACGACTTTCTTCACTTAAAATTTTTGTCAAGGCTCTTGAATTTATAACATTTTAATCTGTCTCATCATTTAAACTTACTACTCTCACTACAACTACTACTACCGCTGCTGCTGCTGCTGCTACTACACGTGCCACTAACGCCATATGCATAGAGTTATTTTATATTAATTAAATGTAGCTTTTTTGTCTCTTTTCTTTCTCTCTTTTTCTCTCTATCTCTTTCTCTTCTTCTTCTCTCTCTCTCTCTTTCTTTTTTGTCAGAAAATTAATTTACCATTTAATTAATCATACACATCTGACATGAATAATAATTGAAAAAAAAAATCAGTTTTTTACGTGTGTGTTTGTGTGTGTGTGTTTGTGTTTGTGTGTGTGATTGTAGTAGCCGAGCAAAGAAAACGGAGAGAGAGAAGAAGAAAAAATGACAAAAACTAAGATGGAAAAGTAGATAGAAAGAGAAAGAGAGAGAAATAAGATACAATTCTACTAATATATCTAGTGGTTCTAATGAGCAAAGAGTTTTTAGTTACGATGACGTTAATGCATTGTCATATCTGTCGTCTTGATCGTCGTCGTCGTCATCATCTTCGGCAGCAGCTGTAGTAGCGACATTAGCCACATCGTCATCATCCTCTTTGAGGAAATAGTCACCCATCAATCAAGAACACCTACCTCGTAAACTTCTTCCAGAAAATCATCATCGTCGTCGTCAGCATCATCATTATCATCATCATTATCATTATCATTATCAACAACATCATCATTGGCAGCGTCATCTTTGTTTATGGCAAATCCTTCTCATTACCATCCATCAATCAAAAGTTGAAAAAAAATGAATAAAATTTTAGTGCATTCTATGGATTAATTTTTCATCATTTCTATCACGGCCACTACCATCATCATCATTGTCTTTGTCATCATCATCATCATCATCATCATCATCATCATCATCATCATTATCAAAATCGCCATCATTATTCCCATTATTTAAATTA